TCTCTCTCTCTCTCTCTCTCTCTCTCTCTCTCTCTCTCTGTGTGTGTGTGTGTGTGTGTGTGTGTGTGTGTGTGTGTGTGTGTGTGTGTGTCGCTTTCTGTGTGTGTGGAAGGGTGTGTGCGTGCATGTGTGCCTGCACATTGCCTGTGAGTGTTGTCTGTGCAGCAGGGGTTGGATGGATATAGCTTGCGGTACTGATGATGGATGTAGAGAAGGGAGAAGCCAGTAGGTTGTTTTGCTGCATTCATGGACTGTCGTCATTCCCATCTGAACTAATAAGTGCAGCAGTTGCAATCATCTTCAACAGTTTGCTCAATAACTTTGATTGAAATTATTTTGCCTCTAATTTTCCCTTATGTGGCTTGTTTTGGTGTATTTGGCAACTCATTTGAGATTAAAATATTCCATTTGAATTTTGAACCGGAAAAAATCCCATCGTGTGACCAACAAGAGAACTCGCACTGTTTTTGTCGTCTGTCACATTGGAATTTTTTAACCCAGACGTGGCAGACGAAGTATTTCTTCCCTCGTCTTTCCCTGATACCAACCAACGGGAAGTTGGTTTTCTCAGCTTTGCTGTCTTTCAAGTTTCCACTGTAAAGATGAGGACAAGAGAAGCAAATTTGTTGTCCTTAGACTCGAATAGGGTGGTTGTCGTCCTTAGACTGAGTGAAGCAAATTTGTCAGTGTTTGAGTGAAGGAGGAAAATGAATGAAGTAACAGCCATTGAACAACCAAATTGTTGGGCCTTAAGGCAGCTTCATCCCTTGATTTCCTCCTATGGGTGGTTACGCAGTCACATGCATGGCTCACCTATCCTTTTGGGAAAGAAAAGTAAATGTTTTGTTTTTTTTTGTTTTTTTTTGTTTTTGTTTTTGTTTTTTTTCCCCCCTGAAGAACTGGCCTGCTTTGGTCTGCTGCTCAGATGCTTTGTCAAAGGACAACTAAGGCTCCATTCTATTGAAACGACTTTTTTCGTGCCAGTAGTGGACCCCCAAGGGAAATACTTGGCGTAGACAGTAACTAGACACCAATTGACAGCAAGTCGAACCCTGCAGAGGGAGGGGTGTGTGCCTGTTTATGTGTATGTGTGACAGTGTGAGAGGGCAGGTGGGTGGATGCGGTGTGGAGAGTGGTGTGTGTGTGTGTGTGTGTGTGTGTGTGTGTGTGTGTGTGTGTGTGTGTGTGTATGTGTGAGAGCGCAGGTGGGTGGATGCGATGTGGGGTGGGGTCCTACATCGTGAGGTGTAGAGTGCCAAGTATGGGGCGTGGCGAGGTAAGGTGAGGTATGGTATAGGTGTAGTTGATTGCCAATGGTATCGAGGGTAGGGGGAAGGAGGAGGGAGAGGTGGAACCGTACGCCGAGCTTACAGCATCGGCCCGGGCTTTAGGCGTGTTTCAGAGCGCTGGCAGGTAGTAGAGGGTAGTTGGTGTGTTACTGGGTGAGGTCTGCGTGTAGTAGCGGCCTGGTAAGTCGAGGCCATGACGCGTGTGCCGAGTAGTACTTTTCTGTCTCGGCGTCGCCGTGTAGTACAAGTGGCATGAGCTCTGTCGAAGGCGGGCATCGTTAGTCGTCGTTGTGACCGAGCGATCGGTATCTGTGAAAAGATGAACTACAAAATAAGTTAAGTGGGCTTTAGATGAGGAGAAAAGTAGTTGTCGGTGGTGGTATGGGGGAATGACCACATTCTTTTAGACGCTTGATCCTAGAGGCGTACAAAACGTAACAATTATAATTGCTGGTAGAGATGTTGTTTCTATGTTTCTGAGTTTCTTTATGTGTGTAGACCCATAATTGTTTGGAGGTGGTAACATGTTTCAGTTCTTAAGTTATGAGAGGTTGCTACTGTTGGTAAGGAGGTGGGGGGATCACATGGGGCAGAGGTTGTCCAGGGTAAGGGGCTTTGTGGAGTGTGGGGTGTGGGGTTGGTAGTTTATCCTATGGGAAGGGTCAGTTATGGGGTTAGGTTGGGGCTATTCATGAGGCTATTTCTACCTATAATAATATAATAATTATTATTCTGAGGCAAGGGAGAAGTTCAATGAGTGGTTGGTATCATTTGCTTTTGTGGGGTGTAAGAGGGATTTGTGGTTACGAGCAGGGTTACCAGGCCATACGTACAGAGCCCCCCCGGGCCGACCTTTGTATGTTCGGGGTCCCGTTTGGGGTCCGGTTCGGGGTCCGAACGTGAAGGGGTTCAGCCCCCGCCAAAAGTTATTACGGGGCCTAAAATGTTTTTTTTTTTTTTTTTGCTAGGCTACCAGCCGGGCCGCCCGGGGTCCCGGGTGGCCAGCCCGTGCAAGGACCAGGGAAGGTCCCAGCCAAAAAAAAAAAAAGAAAAAAAAAAAAGAAAGTATTCCAAAAAATTCGAAAAAAAAAACTATGTTGTGCAGAAAAATAAACTAAACAACTTTTGCCTCAGGGTTGCATCGAAATTCTTCACCGAATTTTTAGAATAAAAAATAAAATTAAAGAATCATATTTTTATTTTTATTTTTTTGGACTGGCCGGGCAAGTGACCCCGGGCCACTCTGGTAGCCTAGGCTTTTTGAAATTTTGTTTGTGAGTTCTTTGTGATGTGAGGTACATGCGTATGAATTTCGAAGGCATTTCGATAAGCTTAAAAAAAAAAAAAAGCCAAAGATGGTGGTGTCAAAACGTGCTCGCCCACTCACTATTTTTTTTTCCATTCTCTTTTCACTTTTTGTTTCACTTTATTTCGGGGCCGAAACAGTTTTCTTATTTTTTTGTTTTTGTTTTTAACGAGTTTTACATCATGTGAAATACAGATTTATAATTTTTCAGGGCATTCGTATAAGCCAGAAAAAAAAAAAAAAAAAAATCGCCAAAGATGGTGGTGTTTAAAACGTGCCCCACCCACGCACTGATTTTAATTCTGATCATTTGTTCTTATTTTTATTATTATTATATGTTTTCTGTATTTCAAATTTGGTAAAGAATTTGGATGTAACGCTGAGGCAAATGCTGTTCAGTTTATTTTTCTGCACAACATATATCGTTTTCAGATATGTTGGATTTTTTCTTTTTTTGGGGGTCCACGTTTGGCCCGAACAGCCAAACATGTCTACAGGGGGGCCTGAACGTTCGGTGTTAGGGTTCGGCCATTCGGCCCCGTTCAAACGCCGGCTGCCATGGTTACAAGTATGTCAGCGTCAGAGTGCATGTGCGGGCATGTGTGGGTATATATACGCATATGACGAGTCGGTGAAACTCCGACGAAACAGTTTGTCACAGCCCCTCGTTTGTTGTTCTCTTCTCCCTCTCTGCCTACGGTTTACTGGGCAGCTCTGTTTGACTATGTATATGTGTGTGTGCGTGTGTGCGTGTGTGTGTGTGCATAGGGGTGTGTGTGTGTGTGTGTGTTTGAGAGAGAGGGAGAGAGTGCGTGAGAGAGAGAGAGAGAGAGAGAGAGAGAGAGAGAGAGAGAGAGAGAGAGAGAGAGAGAGAGAGAGAGAGAGTGTATGTGTGTGAGTGTGCACGCGGGGGGGCTGCGATCCCCGCCCGACAAATCGATCGGGTGTGTGTGTGTGTGTGCGTGCGCGTGTGTGTGTGCACGCGGGCGGGGGCCCTGCGACCCCCGCCCGACAAATCGATCAATCAATCAATGAACCAATCAACATATAAAAAAGTTTGAAGAAAAAAAGGACAGGATATTGATTGATTGATTGATTGGTTGGTTGGTGGGTTGGTTGGTTGAGGGGAGGGGGCTTGCCGGGGTGGGGGGATGACCCCACCCCAACCAACCAATCAATCAATGTCACTTTTTTTTTTTCTTCAAACTTTTTAGAAGTTTTTTATATGTTGATTGGGCGATTGATCGATTGATTGATTTGTCCGGGGGGGTTGCAACCCCCCCCCCCCACGCGGAGACAGGCACACACACGCACACTCTCCCTCTCTCTCTCTCACAAACACACGTACACACACACACACATTGTCCTCACACACGCATGCACACACACACACACACACACACACACACACGTTGTCCTCACACACCTATGCACACACACACACACATATATATATGTATATATATAGACCCACACATACCTGGACATCCACAGCTTTTGTCTGAACGTGTGCCTCAACGAGTGCTTGCCTTGGCAAAATGGGGTGAGTATGGAGCGAGTTAGTTTGAGCGTGCAGCAGTGCGTTGCATGATAGATGACCAAATAGCCACCGGCCTCGGCGGCCGGCGAGCTAAGCCGCAAGTCCAC